ACGTCAGTTTTGTATTAATCTGATGAAAAACTTTATTGATCTTCTACTATTTCTGTTTTCAAGTGAAGACATTCTGTGCCCTTCCATTGCAAAAGAATCCTAGAAAGAAACATGAATTATTTGAGAATACAAGTGCAAGAAAGGTAACGCCAAAATAGTTTTGCCATTAAACTGGTTATCATTGAATTCAGACTGATGAATTGGTCTTCTTTTGCTTCTGGTACCTAAGAATGCAGTCCAAAGTTTTATGCTTTGTTTATACTGAATTAATATGGGTACAGAGTCGGTCTTGAATGAAGTTATTCCTCAACAATACAACTGAAACCTGAATCAGATGTATCATTTTTAAGCCAGTTTGAAAGTGGTAAAAAACACAGAAGCTAAATGTTCATATTCTTCTTTTACTTTTTTTTAGTTGTATGGTCTCTCCTCTTCCATTATGGAACCCTAGTGTTTCCTTAATTATCTGCCCTTTAAACATATTAAAGAATTTTTCCTGCTGTTCTATTCCTTTCATCTATTGATTTGGAAGAAGCTATAAAACATGCTGTTTCTTCCCTTTTTATGTAGATGGCCTATTTTAGCTAAGGTTAGAATTTTGGCAGCCAATTATTTCCTTTTCTTTTTCCTAGTCTTGTTTATACTTCTTAAAGGGCCAGTGTCAACTTGAAATCTCACTCCTATTTGATTACTTTTAACCCACTATTCTTATAAGCAGCTTATAATAGACATGAGGGGGAAAAGGCATTTTTCTCTTTTTTCCCCCAATTTGTTTACTTTATGCTTTTGACAGTATTTACTATTTAGTTATTTTCAGTGTTCCTTATGTCAGTAGTCAGTTCCTGTTGTTTAGGAGCATCTTTCATGCAACATCAGTCTGACTGTAGTACCTAGGAGCATAGATTATGATCCCTAAGGTCAGCTGTGAGCAGCCTCCTACAAGTATCATCTATGTACCAAGTTTACTTACCAAAAACACATGGAAGGTAGGGGTGCACCAGTAGAGTTTTTTGAGGCCAGTATTGATAACCGATTTTTAAAGAGGCATATCGGCTGATACCAATCCGATTTCCAGTACAGCATGGAGAGCTGCGTGCAGCTGTCTGTTGTAGTGGAAAGGGAGGGGGTGTGGAGGGACATGGGGGGCAGATCAAGGCCCTCACGGTGAGGGAGGGAGTGGAGCTGGGGCAGGGGGTAGGCACTGCCCAGCTGGGGTGGGACGCAGGATGAAGCTGCAGCTCGTCTGGGGGGCACAGGGAGGGTGGAGTGGCTCCTACCATTCCGTGCACCCTGGGGGGGTATATGCTATTCCAGACCTGTACTGGGCATGGTGGGCTGCAGCTGTGGGCTGGGGCTGCGCTGGGCTCTTACCAGTGGGGGTTGGGCCAGACTGCACTCAGGGTGGGCAGTGCTGGGAGGGGGCTACGGGGGAGGCTGCAGCCACCCCAAAATTCACCATGGCCCCCTCAGCTCCCCCTCCCAGCACTGCCATCACCCAATCTGAGTGCAACCTGGCCTAGCCCCTCTGCCAGGAACAGCCCGACGTAGACCCTGTCCCAGCCCACAGCAGCAGCCTGCCCTGCCCTGTGCAGATCTGGGGGCACACCCCCCCATGCTGTCTTAGGGAACACGCAGCAATGGGAGCTCCCCTTATGCTCCCCAGACAAGCTGCGGCTCTGTCCCACACCACGCCCCAGCTGGGCACTGCCTGCCCCAGCCCACTCCCTCACTGCTGGGGCCTTCATCTGCTCCCCCATGCCTCTTTCTTCCCCCCTCCCCATCCACCACAACAGACTTACTAGCTGCACGCAGCTCTCCAAGCTTCCGGGCTGTGTTCCTCACCGCCTATGTGCTGCACTGTGGCTGTGCACATGCATGTGCTGTTTATTGGCCACATTATCAGCCACATCAGGCCAATTTCTGATACAGCCAATTTTCTTTGTATCAGTGGTGATCCAGTATTGGACCTGTAATGGAAGGTCATTCTCAGTAGTAGGTTCTCTGCTCTGGAACTCCCTCCCCCTTGTGTTCTGACAGAGCCCAAGCCAGCAATCTTGCAGAGGTATAAAAACCTTTTTATTTCAGCGTGCACTTAACAAACAAAGTTAAGGTGTGGCATTGTCTGGGGAGTTTGTTTTGGGGTGGGCAAAATCCAGCCCATGAGCCAGACTGGGTCTGTAGCGAACTCCGTTTCCCAGCAGCTCCTTCTGGCTGCCACCGCCGGGGCCAGCCCTGCTGCCCTGGCACCCCAGCCCATCTGCCCTGTACCCATTGCCTGGAGGGACCCAGATAGGCAAGGTGCATGGCTGAGCAGCTTGGAGCAGGATGAGTAGGCAGGGCTGGGGAGACCCTGGGATCTTGGAGAGGTGACAGCACGGGGCTGAAGCAGAGCTGTGATCTACTGCCTGTATGACCCTACAATGGGTGTGGGTTCTGTGGGCAGGGGCATGCAGGGAGCAATCACAACCCTGCACTGTCACCACCCCAAGTTCCTGGCTCCAGAGTAGATCCCTGCCCAGCCATGCACCCTGCCTACACAGCTCCTGGCCGGTTACTATGGAGACCCCAGGAACAGCAGGACCATGATAGTGTGGGGCTGGGAAAGCTTTTGGTTCTTCAGCCCCACACTGTTACAGCCCTACATGGTCATGGCCCCACAGCTCCTGGGGGCTCCATGGAGACCAGCTGGGAGCCACATAGGCAGGGGCAACGGCTGCTGGCTGGGGCTCCACCATTTTGCCCACCCCTATTATATACCTTATGTATCTTTATTTTATAAGTTATTTTGTCTTTTATTGTAAGTATTTTAGAGGGAAGTGAGATATATAAATCTAATAAATAAATTACTGGAGCAAATTATAAAACAATCAATATGTTAATAGCTACAAGAGGAAGAGGTAACTCTTAGCAGCCAATGTGGAGTTGTGAGGAAGAAATCATGTTAAACTAACTTAATTTCCTTTGACAGGGCAACTAGGTGAGAAGAAAAGCTAAAAAATGAGGCTGTAAAATGTCAAATATTGGTAGAGAGACTTAGGGGCAGATATAATATAGAGACTGTACTATATGGGAATTGGCAGGGTAGATATGCACCTTATAGATTAACTAAATAAATATATAGAGCACAAGCTTTTGTGTACCCAAGTTTACTTCATCAGATACTGTGAACGGATAAGCGTAGAGAAGTATTTGAAGTGGAGTGAGTGATTTGAATACAAAAGGTGGAAGAAGAAGAGGGAGAAGGAAGGTGGAGAAGGACAATGTTAGAAGAAGCAAACAAATAAAGAACCCAGTGGAACAATGGCCTCATGAAAGCCAGCTCAGATAATGGAATGAGAATCCATAGTCTCTGTTTAAACCATGCTTAACACAGTCCAGTCTGTGTATGATTTCTTGTTCCTCAATATCCTGTTCAAACTGGTGTTTCAGATTTTGCTGTCCAGGGAGGTTAAGGAATTCTAATGCAGAAAATATTACTTTTCATGACTATGAATAGGTATACATGTTTATACAACATGCAAAGCAATTAAGAATAGGGCCCCATTTTTAAAAGCTTGGAATACAATAAATTTTAGTAGGATTTTATAACTACAAGTGAACTATAGGGAATGGGTGGATCCAGGAAGGTGGGGGTTGGGGTACAGTCAGCCCCCCTTCCCCCTTCTTTGATTATTGCTCCACTGAAATTTTAAAACAGACTACCAAGCAGGGACATTCCCTTTTCTATGCATGTGGAACTGAGAGAGTTAATTGACTTCATGGCTCATTATTATTTACTTGATTTTTTGCTAATCTCTTCACTTCTTAGGTGTTAACAATGTTTGATCTTCCTCTAATCGCCAAGCTTTTCTTCTACAATTGTCTCTTATCTGTTAATGTTTCTCTGCTCACTTCCTTACCTCCCACATGTTCAGTAGTGGTGTGCTGCTACCAAGGAAACAATACTGAGTGGCTTTGTTTGGAGGGGATTCAAAAAATCAGACAGGAAAGGGAGGGGCAGAGCTAAAAGTTGGCTGAGCTGTGTAGTGGCAGTCAGAGGCAGGAAAGAGTTGCAAAGGTGAGGGGAAGAGGTGAGTTACTGCAGTGACTGGGTTATTCATTGCAGCTTTGAAGGCTGTGGAGGTTGAACCAGTGCTGAAACCAGGACAACATAAAGGTGGGCATAGGTGGATGAGAGGGATAGGTATCTTGGGTAAAGGCTTCAACAATCCTTTCCCGCTCAACTCTTTGTTGGTGGTGGAAGGCAGTAGGGACCAGCTATAGACCTGCTGTGAGTAACGGATGAGCAGTGCGGGGGACAATTACCACCCTGTCTCATGGTTGGGGGCCATGAAGTGTGGAGAATAGTTTGGGAGGAATTTTGAGGGGGAGGGTTTTCCAAGAGCCAAGAGGGTTTGGATGGGAGGTGTCCCAGGGAAAGAAGTAGTAAAGGGTACTTACCAGCAGCAGGAGATGCAGCACAACAGGAGTGGAATGAAGAGCCTGCGCGGCTCGTCAGCCGCCTCTTTATCCAATTATGGCCAGCCGATGACGTCAGCTTCCGACGCCAGGGGGAGAAGACCCCGGGAGAGCCCTGAGGGGTTTACGATTGGGGTGGGTATCGCTGCTGGTCCCAGCCGGGCCGACGGGAGGACAGGAGTGAATCCCAGAGGCGACAGGTCAAGAGTAAAGCAACCCCCTCAGCTAAAGCCTGGGGAAGGATAGTAAGGGGGCAGGGTACAGTCACGTCGGGAAGTGGCTCACTGTTCTATGTTTTGTTATTGCATTTTATTTAGTTGCCCTGTGCGAAGGGGAATAGGAGGAGAGTGCAGGTATCCCCAAGGAACGGGGCCGAGGAAGAGCCTCGGAAGGTTTTTTTGTGTTTCCCTGAGAGACGGGGTGGAGGCAAGGAGGGCCGAGGGAGCAGACCCACACAGGTGAATGTGGCTATAGGCCACGGGCATCTAGATGCCAAGTCATAGGGCATTATCCCACTGGTGGGAACAAGGCCAACAGATGGGCGATGCACCGAAGGAGGCGTGAGGCCAGGGTGTAGGGGTGATGGAGCCCCGTGAATGACTGCCGGGTGAACCACGGGCCACTGAGTACACTCGACGACCAATCCCGCCTACTGGGGAACAACAAGTCGTGGCAGGTGAGAACGGGGGAGGCGACTCGAGGGGAAGACATCTACTCGGTCTGCGACAGAAGTCCGTAAGGCGCTTTACGTCTACCACCAGAGCGAAGGTCGCCCGAGAGCGGCTATTCGAGGCCCAGCGGCCACAGGGGGGATCACAGGTACCAAGGGGCTTTTGTGGGGAGGGACATCTGTGGGGTAGAAGGGTGTAGGAAAAGGAAGGGCTGGGGCAGTATGGGGGTGAGGGGTATGAGGCTGAGAGGGGTGTCTGTAGGAGTGTGTGAGAGGAGTTGGGAACAAGAGGGATTGTGGGTAAGGGGGGCCTGGGAGATGTGAGGGGCTGCAATGGGTTTTGAATGCTCAGAGGGGCAGAGGAAAGCTCAGTGAGGTGTGAGGGGGGTGATGAGAGGGCATGGGGCCTGGGGCCTGAAGAGGACAAGTTTTTGCAGGGTGCAGTGGATTCTTGGGGACAGTGAGAGGGTAGGGTAGGACTCAGCAGTGTGTGAAAGGGCGATAGCGTTTGCTGGGTTTGGGGTATGAGTAGGTAGGGTTGAGTATGGGGATATGTGGGATAATGGGGGACAGAGTGGAGCCAGGAGGTATTAGAGGCGACAAGGACAGTGCACAAAGGACAGCACTTTTGGGGCCGTGCTGAAGTGTCTGGGGAACTTGTATGAGGGTTCAGGGAGCAGTTCTGTGTGCAGCCAGGTTGGGGGTAACAGCTGTATCCCCCTTCCCATAGCACCAGGTACCTGCCCTACCCTGGAGCTGGCAGTCAGCTCCCCACAGACTCAGTTATATTTGTTTTTCCTTGGATCATAAACTGACTAATATAGCCCCAGGCCCCTAGCATATCAGAAAAAAAATTCTACTTTCTTTTTTAAGTGGAGAAAAATAGGCATTGTGTTATAGGATGATACATACACATTGCCACCTACCACCCCACTTTTCAAAATTCTAGATCTGCCCAAGCAATTATTCAAATGAGATTTCTGAGGCGATGTGTCCTATGGAAGACAACACGAGTGTTGTATAGATTATTCTGTACATTGCAAATCCTGACACCCTTGTTCAGTCCTTTTTGTGTGAAATTCCCAGTGACTTGCTGGGGGCTGGGTGGTCCAGTCAACAGAGCACTAATAGGAGAGTAGAGAGAGCTGGAGAGGTATTTTCAAAAGTGCTTAAGAGGTTGAGGTTTACAAGCAGTTGAAATGGTCTTGAATAATGTGACTGGGTTTCAGCTCTTAACTTGGTGTGTAAATTTGAGAAAGTAAATGAACATTCCTGGGCCTCAGTATCCTTATTTGTAAAAGATGAAGAATAATGCTTTACTTTGTTCTGTGAAATGTATGGAGACAGATAAGTGGTAAGTACCTCTTTTGAGTTAGTTGAGATGCAGTTTCAGATGGAACGTCTAGAATTCAGTTAATCTGGATCATATTTATGTTTCACTGTTTAAAAATAGAAGTTGATAGCAAATAGAACAAAGTTAGTTATGTTAACTGTTTTTTTATGATATCTGAAAACAATCGTGCCATTTTGGTTTTTTTAGATGTACAGTTGATTTAATGATAATTTTTTGAGAAAGTAATACCATTAAAAATGGGTCTCACAGCTGCAGACTTCCTTTCCTCCTATTCACTTCAGTCTTGGTAACCTCTCCAGATTGATGGACAAAAGCTGCAAAGACAGTGCATTAAAGCTAGATGTTTCCAGAGATATCTGGGAGCAGAAAATCAACCTGCCTCAGCTGGAGAAGCCACTTGAGAAAAGCTCAGCAACCATCGAGTCTATTAGTGTTGTAGATAAGGGCAAAATAACAACAGACCACAGTAGATACCCTCAGGGGGACCTCGAACAGTCTAGTTGTGCCTTTTGATAGTATAAATGAGATTAAACTGAAAAACAAATCGAGGTTGGATTTGCCTTGTTCAAAGATGGCATCAGAAGCACTGTCATCTGAAATAGGCAACGTTCCAGAATGTCCAAATTGCAAAAAGGAAAAGAGAATCCGGAATGAGTATGACCAGTTCATTTTGCAGTCAAGAAAGGACAAGGAGGCTTTGCAGAAGAGGATTATGGAGCTAAAAGCTGAACTGAAAAAGATATGAAGAATATAAACTATGTCCAGGACAAGAGAATGAATTCACCTACTCTAAGGTAAGCAGAGATACCTGTCCCGTAGAGCTACTCTTCTGCTAGTCTTTGCTACATTTCACTATGAATGAGAATGCATTTTAGGAAAGGAGGGAGCTTTACAGAGGACCGAAAAGGACTGATACCATTGAGCTGCCAATGGAATTGGTCATCATGTCTGAATGTGTTTTGTTGCTGTCTGCGCTTTGATAATAGATCCCTTTAGATGCCATCAAAGACAGAAAATGTGTGGTTTTTCTTCTTTATTTTTATCAGGAGACAAAAAGAAGTAAACAATAATTCTCCAGTATTTTCACTTCCGATGACCTAAATAATAAATAAATGCCTTGTATATTTACTGTACAGTATATTGAATGCCCCCCAAATAGTCTTGTGTACAGGCAGTTTTGCTTAGGCTGTTGACACCCTTGGAAGGAGCCCTGTTTTAATGAAACAGACTGAAGAATGAATGGTTTAGTTTGGTTTTTAGAAGGTAAAACGATTTTGCAGATCAAACTGATCCCAGATAGGACTCCACTGTAACAGGGTCCCACTCCAGGGGTGACCATGATGCCCCCTGACACCCCATCAGCGCTTATCAACTTCACTCTCTCCTTCACGCTTTCTTTCTCTTTGCCTGCCATGCCTTGATATCTTTATCTTTTATGAAAAGGGAGGCTGCCCCAGGGCTCCCCAAAGTGATTTTACACTCATGAACACAGGTGTCCATGCTCATTGCCTAAAGGGCTAATTACATGGGCTCTGTCTTCCCCAGTATCCATGCCCCTGCTTTGCAGATGTCTCACATACCAATCAACTCATAACTGCCCCTATGGGCTCCTGGCTTTGTTCATTCTTATACCAGCTCCTCTCTGGACTATGGGCACTCTGGCCTCCTCAGTCTCTGGTTGTGGCCTTCCTGGCCTTTGGTCCTTCTCCTTAGAGTAGACCTTAGCTCCACTTCTAGACCAGCAGAGACCAATGAGCTCTCCAGCCCCACCAGTCTCTGGCTGTAGCCCTTTCTCAGCCTTAGCTGCACTCCTAGGCCAGTGAAACCTACGGGCACCTTGGCCATCTGTTCTCTCTCTGGGCCCTTTGGCCCCTCTTCATCTGGGCCTGTTGGGACTTCCTTACCTCTCCTTAGTCCCTTCCAGATGCTTCTGAGCCCTCAGGCTGCATGCTGCCTGTTCTGCCAGCCCTAAGGCTGAACTCCCAGCCCTAAAGCTGCAGACCCACAGATGTACTTGGTGCAAGCCAGAGTTACTGTCTAAGTGGCCTGCTCAGGAGCTCCTTTCCTGTCTGCTACCTGGATGAGACTGCCTGCCTCTTCAGGCCCCGGGCTTATACGTACCTCAAGCCTAGCCCTGGTACAGTCAGGTGTCTTCCCTGATGGTTTCCTGAGCTGCTTCTAAAACCTTTTCTCCTCATAAAGTGACAGGCACGCTGAGCACCCTGTCATGTCCACCATGTTTGTATTATGCTATTAAAATCTACTTTAAAAATAAAGTAGGGCAACCCAGGGAATAAGCTCTACTCAATTAGTAAGGCATGTGACCCCAGATGCTGAAGAAAATGTCTGGTTTAGAGTCTAGAGTCCAGGGCACTTCTTTGGGTTTTGTAATCCTGTCTTTCAAGAAGTTACTTGTCCTTTTAGATAAGAAGAAATAAACAGAGCCTACTTTCTCCATAAGTTTGTGCAATTAGCCATTCAGAAAGTTTCCCAAGTATTTCATAGAAAGCAAAGTTTTAGTCAGTGACATTCTAAAATCTATAGCTAGCAGAGGAGTGAGGAGTAGTGGGGAAAATCACCTAACTAGTTTGAAGATGGGGCTGTATGGGTTTATGAAATGGATTATATGACCTACTCGCTTAGCAAAGGGGTGAAGTTGATGACTGTCCCCTTTGAGTGCCAGATGCCTAATTCAGAACAGGTGAGTAGTCCCATAGAAATTACATGGTTAAACTAAGTGTCTCTTTAAGCTTCCTGATAAACTGGGACTCAAACAAATAGGTTTCTTTAGACATGGAATGGGCTTACATTGCTATTATTCTGACTGTTTCTCTGTGATACCTTGGTTAATAGCTTGAAACCTAAGACATCCATCTTTGGCAGGAAAATGGACTGGTGCTTGAAACATCTGGTCTGGGTCTTGGACAACACTCAGAAGGGAACAGCCCCTGCATGGGACCTAGAAGGGAAACGAGAGTGCTTCCCACAGAGGAAGTCAGCTAGGAGGTGCACCAGCTCATATCAGACCTCCAAGGACAGATGTAACCCCTCATATTCATGACGGCTCTCAGAGACTGGACTGACTTGCCCAGTGTCCATAAATGAGGGAAATGCCTTGGGCAGCAGACTAATCATATGAACTTAGACTAATTATAAAGGGAATATATAATGTGCATGCTGCAAAATTCACCCCCCGAACCTCTGTAAATTTGTCTTATTGTGCTCTGGAGAGTCATATTCAGCCAGATCCCTTATCAGTAGAAACAGAAGGTATGAACCAACACAGAAACATTTGAGGGGTTAGGTGACACTAAACAATAACTGAACTTGTAGGTATGTGTAGAATTAATGGAGAATGCTCTACTTTCTCCAGGCTTTTGTGGAATCATCCTGTAGTCTTTAATGGTTGTGGTAAGTTTCTTTATGAAGCTGTGTAGAACATTTCAAAGATTCTATGGGAAGGTTATCAATTCCTATTTTAATAAATATAGAATAAAGACTTGTTCCATAAGGATATTTTATAGTGTAATTATTAGTAAAGCTCCTAGTTTCTCTTTAACTGGAGAACAATGTGTTGTTACATGTGATGATGCACCACACCATCTGCACCCCCCTTTTCAAAATCCTAGATTTGCCCATGAGTGTCCTCTACTTGATAAATCAGTGGCTAGTAATTCTCTGTCTTGTTTTATCTGTAAATTGATATATTATATATATCAAGTTTGTTACCAACTATGACACGTGGTTGCGTGCAAAATCCAAGAAAACAAAGCAATTGTAGATTAGTAGTACTAACACATCCATAATGTTCCCTGATTTAATATGATAAAGAAGATATATATTAGTTACTGTGTATACTAATTATATGTTACATGTATGTGTATAATGTATGTTATACTGTATATACTAATGATATAGGTTACTGTAAAATGTGCACTGACTCTTGTTCCCTCTTCATTTTTCCTTTTATTAAACCGGGAGCAGCAACAGCAGCTGGGAAAGGAAGTTACCCATCTTGATGGCTTGATAAAAATATGTAAAAATGAACCAATATGTATGATAAGGAGATTGGAACTGAACAAACTGCAAGAGGAGAGGAAGGGGAAGCAGCAACAAATAGTAAGAGTCTGCTTCACCTTTTTCTTAGAACCTTTTTAAAATTATATTTAAGTAAATCACTTCTAAGCCTCAACACATGCAAGCATATTCAGAAAAAAACTGTTAAAAAAACCAGTAACACAAACAGCAGAACTTGAGAGGTTTAGAACCACAGGGTGCCTGTGTTTTTACTCCATTCTTTAGGGTGCTTTTTTGTTTGGCTTTCTTGAATGTCTGCATCAAATACTCATGGTCTGGAAAGAAAACATTTCACTATCTGAGGCAAAACTTTCCTTGAATGGAGCCGAGTTTTAGAACTCATTCCTGTTCTCGTTTTATCATCTCTTGTACTGATTATGAAACCTGAAGAGTAAAATGCAGATTCTGCTCTCTTATGTCATTGAAATTCAGAGCAACAGCATTAACATTTAACAGTGTTACTTTGAGTTATACTAGCCAAACTGAGGTCAGAAAATGGTTCCAAATCTTGACATGGTTAGAAAATGCCAGTATAGCTGGCATAAAACTTTTTCTGAACCAAAGAATTCTTGTAGTCTTCCTCTCTGAACTGTTAAGTAGATTTCATAGATTTCATAAATATCATAGACATTAGGGCCAGAAGGGACCTCAGAAGATCGAGTCCAGCCCCCCACCCAGAGGCTAGGAAGTCAGCTGGGGTCATAGGATCCCAGCAAGATAAGCATCCAATTTACTTTTGAAGGTGTTCAATGTAGGTGTTTGAACCACCTCCAATGGCAGGCTGTTCCAGACCTTGGGGGCTCGGACAGTAAAGAAATTCTTCCTTATGTCTAGCCTGAGATGGTCTTGCAGTAGTTTATAACCGTTCAACCTCGTCATCCCTTGAGGTGCTCTGGTGAACAAATGTTCCCCCAGAAACTGATGGTCACCCCTGATAAACTTGTAAGTGGCCATCAGGTCACCCCTGAGCCTGTGCTTTTCCAGGCTAAAGAGCCCCACGGCTCTCAGCCTGTCATAGTAAGGTCTGTTTTCCTGACTTCTGATGATGCGCGTGGCTCTTCTCTGGACTTTCTCAAGCTTCTCCACATCCTTTCTTAATTGTGGAGCCCAAAACTGGACACGGTACTCCAGCTGTGGCCTCGCTAAGGCCAAGTACAAGGGGAGAATGACGTCCTGGGATTTGCTTGAGAAGCATCTTTGGATGCAAGCCAGTGTTTTGGTTGCTTAACTAGCCACAGCATCGCATTGCAGGCTCATGTTCATCTTGTGGTCAATGATGACCCCCAAGTCTCTTTCTTCCATAGTGCTAGCCAGCGTAGCACTGCTGAGCCTATAAAGATACTGCAGGTTTTTCCTCCCGAGGTGGAGAACCTTGCATTTTTCGGTGCTGAACACCGCCAGGTTCTCATCCGCCCATTTGCTGAGTCTGTCCAGGTCAACCTGGATCACCTGCCTGTCTTCTGGTGTGGATGCTTTGCCCCAAAGTTTGGTGTCATCAGCGAACTTGGCCAGTCTGCTTCTGACTCTAATGTCCACATCATTAATGAAGATGTTGAACAATATGGGTCCAAGAACAGAGCCTTGGGGGACCCCATTGGTCACAGGACACCATGATGGGTGACTGCCATCAATTACTACCCTCTGGGTCTGACCACAGAGCCAATTTCCCAGCCAGCGGATCATGGTGGACCCAAGGCCACAGTTGGCCAGTTTTGCCAAGAGGTGATCATGGGATACCAGATCAAAGGCTTTTTTGAAGTCAAGATATATGACATTAAGTAGTAATAATAATAGGAGTCATTCATTGGACAAAAGGAGGTTCATGGAGTTGTCTAGTTTTTTAAAATAAGTTTAAGTTTAGATGCACATGTCATAAAAAAGAGCACCTGTCTTGTTTAAGGTAATCCTTGAAACATTTTAAAGTTAAAGTGCCTCATCTCATTTTGCCTATTAGGGTTTGTATGCTACTTAAGTATCTTAAGTAGGGTAGCCTGTGAGAGGCCCACGTATGGCCGGTGGCCCTGCATAGCCTGCAAGTGGTTAACATGCAGTCTTCAGTCCTCAGTAGCCAGGGTGAATCTAGGGAGGGTGCAGTGGTGCAGTCGCACCCTTCTTTGATTCCTAGTCCACCCAAAGTATAATACCAAGTGCCTGACAACGGTGGCAGCAGCATTTCTATTCAGGTAGCCGTGAGGAAGTCACTTGACTCCGTGGCTCTTTGTAATCTACTTTGTTCCTTCTAAACTGTTCATTCCACATGTGTTGTTAACCCTCCCTCCCTTTTAAAGGTCTAAATGTTTCTGATCAAGCTATCCTTTTTTCTGCAGTTCTTTTATTTGTTAGTTGCTTCTGGTAATGTAGCTCCTATTTCATAGCCCTGCGGACTGGTCTTTTTTTTTTTTTTTTAACTTTAGCTAAAAACAACAACTGAGGTGTGGAAGCTTTTAACTTAGGTGGGCATTAACTCAGGTGTGGAAATAACTTTCAGTGAAGTAATGGATGCACTGTCAAGGTGCTCAAGAAGGCTAGATTTTTTTTTATGAATCTGAAAAGAGATGTACATTTAATTATAATAACTATAGAGCTAATGAAATACCATCTTTCAATTTTTTTTGCCTAGTTGGTTGTGGGTTTTTTATACATAATATATGATATGTCAAACTACTGCATATTCTAATAAACTTACTTGTTTTAGCTTTGACCTTAACCTGAACAATATAGCGTTGGGCACCTAGTACATTAATAAAGCTTCTAGTTTCTTTTAAACTGGAGAAACATGCTTTTATATGGTGGTACACCGCACGTGGTGTGATGTACCCCCTTTTCAAAGTCTTAAATCCAATCCATCCAGGCCAGTGGCTGCCTCTTCCACTGCTGCATGGCTAGGAAGGGAGTAGGGAGTCTATGTTTAGCCCACAGGGCAGAAGGCAAGGAGTCATTTGCTGCTAATGGGAGGTCTGCCTGTCTCCAAGCCTTGAAACCTAGTCTCCTACTTGCTGGCCAAGTGTCTTAACCACTCAGCTGTTGTATTGGAGCGAAAATATGAAAGTGTCTTCTGTGATCATCTCTGCCACTAAACTTATGGTCAGGTCTGTGCTTCTAGATGCTTATATCCACAGTGCAGATGTAAGGTCAAAAACCAGATATGTGATTAGAAAATTACCATGTAGGTGGCCAAAAGGAAATAGCTTTCTGCACTGGGATGCCTAAGTACCATTGAGATGCGTAGGAGTTCAAATAGGGTCTTGTCCAAAGTGTTTTTAATTAAAATTGGTGCTTTTATTTTTGTTGTTATGCAAGTCCTGCTTGCCATTAAATGCCTTTTTCAAATGTATTCATTTTCTAAATAGAAAATTCATTCTTAAAAAAACCTAAATATTACAGAATTGAAATCAGAGTTTGAGCACCAGTTTCTGTCCTGTCAGCCCACCTGTTCTTGCACCTTATGAGTGTGATATGACTCTTCTGATGCTTGCTATTTGCTCTTATAAGCAGATTGCCATCTGCTGGATACAGTGAGCAGGGCACTCTTTGCTGTGCTTGAGTTCTGTGGTTCTATTCCTCCATAATCCTTTAAAATATAAACTTAAATCTAGTTCTGAAAAGCACAAGAGTGAGGTCTCCAGAGAGTGAAATCTCCAAGCAAATGCTGGTCAACAGATGACATTGCTGGGAGGGGAGTAATAGATGCACTGGATGGTAGGGCTAAGATTGAGAGAGACTTTGAGAAATTAGAAATCTCCTGAGGCTCAATAAGGACAAGTGAAAACTGCTGCACATAGGACAAAAGAATCCCATATACCACTACAGGCTTGGGAAAAAACTGACTAAGCAGGAGCTATACAGAAGAAGACCTGAGGTTACAATGGACAGTAAGATGAATATGAGCCAACAGTGTGCCCTTGTTGCCAAAAAAGCTAATAGCAGACTGAGCTGCATTAGTGGGAGTGTTGCCAGCAAATCGAGGGAAGTAATTATGCCCCTCTGTTCTGCACTAGTGAGTCCACAACTGGAATACTTACTGGGTCCAGTTTTGGGCCCCTCACTATAGAAAGGATGTAGACAAGTTGGAGAGAGTCCAGTGGAGGGCAACAAAAATGGTTCAGGGGCTGGGGCACATGATTTATGACGAGAGGCTGAGGCAACTGGACTTATTTAGTCTGCCAAAGAAGTTGTAGCTAAATTGTTCTCAGTGGTGGCAAATGACAGAGCAAGGAGCAATGGTATTAAGTTGCCGTAGGTTTAGGTTGGATATTAGGAAAAATGTTCTCACTAAGAGGGAGGTGAAACACTGAAACAGGTTACCTAGATTGGTGGTGGAATCTCCATCCTGGAGGTTTTTAAGGATTGGGTAGATGAAGTCCCGGCTGGAATGATCTAGCTGGAGAGGGTCCTGCTTTGAGCAGGGGTTTGGGCTAGATGACCTCCTGAGGTCCCTTCCAACCCTCATTTTTCTGATTCTGTGATTTTATTCAACACTGGTCAAGCCACATCTGGAGTACTTTGTCCAGTTCTAGGTCCCCCATTACAGAAAGGATGTAGACAAATTAGAGAGAGTCCAGTGGAGGGCAGTGAAAATGGTGAGCAAGCTGGGCCACATGACTTCTGAAGAGCCTGAGGGAACTGGGCTTACTTAGTCTGGAGAAGAGAAGACATAGAGGGGATTTGATAGCAACCTTCAACTACCTGAAGGGAGGTTCCAAAGAAGATGGAGTTAGATCAGGGGTTTTCAACCTTTTTTAACAAGTGTACCCCTTCTGCCTCAGAGTTTCAGCTCGCGTACCCCTTTATTTTTTTTCTAGTTTTTAGGGGGGGGCAGATTGAGGCCCCCACAGTGAGGGTCCTCAATCAGGGGAGATGATGCTGCTTCACTCCAGGGCTCGCTCCATCCCTGTCTGCCTGCCCACCTGCGTGTACCCCCTACAACCTTTCTAAGTATCCCTGGGGGTATGTGTACCCCCAGTTGACAACCCCTAAGCTAGACTGTTCTCAGTGGTGGCAGATGACAACAAGGAGCCAATGGTCTCAAGTTGCAGCAAGGGAAGTTTGTTAGTTGTTAGGAAGAACTTTCTCACTAGAAGGGTAATAAAGTACAGGAACAGGTTACCCAGAGAGGTGGTGGAATTACCATCCTTGGCTTAAGATCCAGCTAGATGAGGGGTGGGCAAAATATGGCCCGCCAGGCAATTTTATCCAGCCTGTGGGTGCCCACTAACTAATTGTACTCCACCCAGCCTGCATGCCTTGCACCCACCCTAGCCAGCACACAGCTTCCGTGTGGGACTGCTGGTGCCACTGCTGCAGTCACTGGGGGACCTGTTCAGATTCCCTGGTGTCCCGCTCACTCCAGCCACCAGGTAGGGAAACAGCAGGGGTTGGGGTGGGGAAGAGCTGCACCTGGGTGGGAGCACGGAGCATGGGTCTGGGGATGGCGGCAGCATGGATCCCACTCCCAAGGGGGTGGCAGGAGCGCAGGACTTAGGTGGGTAGGTTGTAGGGGTGAGGGGGGGTGGGATCGGTGTAGGGACCCTCTATACACTCCCCCCATGGTGCATAGCCCCTACTGTCAGTGGCAGCAGCAACAGGTGGTGGGCATTTGGGGTACTTGGGGCCTGCGCATGCGCCGCTGCCCAGTAGCGCATGGCTCTGGCCAGTGCTGCAAGTGGTGGGAAGGAGTGCAGCCAGGCTGGCTCACCTCTGTCGTGCAGGGCTCTGTGAGGTGCATGTGCAGCTCCTGGCACTCGTGTGCCATCAGGGGAAGAGTTAAAGTCCCAACTTGAAAAAACAAAGTAAAAGAAAAAATACCAATTTTAGAAAGTGAGAAGGTGTTTATGAAGTATGCTTGCATTTATTTATTAAAGACTGCACTGCATGTACACTCTAAACTATGTGTAGGCTATGTCCTGTACTAAAGTTCATTTTAAGCTACTTCTGTGACTAAATTCTGGTAATATTGGACCTGGAAGCCCAGTGTGGATTTTGCTTGCTTCTCTTTTAATGGAGACTATAAGCAAGGGCCAGTCTTGCACTGCTTTCACTTTAGTAGTTCAAGATTGGACCTCAAACAAGGGGGATAGCCACTGATAAAGTACAGCAGTTCTGGAAAGAGAAACTGCAAAATAGTAAATAGCTAAGACAAACTTTCATCATTCCCACTATGAATTAAATATAATAAGTACGATGCTGTATTTTTCCCCCACTCTATAGTTAATGGAAGCACAAGGTTGTTTTCAGTAGTATGGATTATAGTTTCTCTAATAAGTCTAAGACAATTTAAACTAAATTAATATATTTTACACTGTGCCTCAGATAAAATACTTAAATGTCTCTTTTTAAGTGTTTTGCCTAAGCATATCTAAAGGGTTCTGTTAAGTTATTAATACATATTAATATCTTCCCTCTGGCTTCTGGAGCTCCCAGACCCTAATACCACTCCTTTTGAGTGGGATAGATGGCATCCTTGTCCCCTTGGAGCACATCTGTTCTTTGCATTAGGATCACATCCTGACACCTGAATGCTTGCAACCCCAATTAAACTAATGACAAGGCTTTTTTTGGAGGCCAGGAGCACCATCCACCCCTTAAGGATGAGCTGCTGTGCTCAGGAGCTGAATGCAGTTCTTCTGCACACCTTGCCTTTGTTGAGCTGGGAAATAAGGAAGACCTGGCCTGGACTTTAACGTGAATCACTGCTGGAACCCACCCATTTATAGAGCATTTCCATATTTTTTTTCTAAAGTTTATTTCCAAAATGAGAAACTTTTATAAAATTTAGCTCTTTTGCTCAAACCAAGTGACTTTTACTCCTGAGGATTCAGAGTTTATTTTGGGTAAAGGTATTTAAATACAAAGGATCCTGAGTTGGTCTAATAAAAGATATCAGATTTACCCAAAGAACCTTGTCTGCGAAGGATCTTGAGAAAATTCTGCTCTGGGGGTTAGTTTAGAATCAATATTCCATGAGCTAAATTCTACAGTGGCAATGTGTAAATCTGTAGTAATTCCTTTGAAATCCATGGAGTTGCTCCAGATATACAATGAAAACAGCACAGTTTGCTCCATTATGCTTACATGAGAGTTTCCTGACCTTTAATACACAGTGCAGCAAGACCAAAATGAACCATTGTTGCAGTAGTGAAAAAATGTGTGGATAACAATCACATGCTTCCTTTGGAAAGAAAAAGGGGAGATCTATTTTTAATCCTACTGTATTTTGGTTACTTTAATCTCTCTATTCCACTCCCCCAAAGTTTATAGAGTTATATACATTACCTCTTTTGTCAGGGTTGTTCTTTGTGAGATCAGAACAAAATCTGCAACACAATATCTAGGATACAATCCAAACAAGTAATAAGAAAGAAAATTCTTAGGAAAATGACTCTGCCATTGTTCCTATCATGGAGAGTGATTATTTCCTTTGGAATTTAACTTGCCTACAGAGTCTGTCTATTGAAAAGGATATCATGAATTTGAAAATCATACTTTGTCTTTAGAAATTGTGAACCTCTCCTAGACATCAGAAACCCTTCCAATTACTGTAGCTAGAAGAAAGCAGTGACAAGAACATGCATCTTTCCTCTTTGCTTTTTTTTGGTTTGTTTATGGTATGTATCTGACAACACTTTATCTGCAGTTAGTCTCACTGTTCCCCTGGATAGTCAGTAGGCCCCAGTTTGATTTACATGGCCAAATCCCTACATCTTCCCAAGACCCCTTGGGAGTATAGTAGGAGGGACTCTGGGCATTTATACACATGCTTCAGGAATGGTGGGGGGAGGGAGGGCACGTCTCTGAGAGCTGTTTTAATTAAAGCATCTGGAGCGTCACGTGGATCAGTGTCCCCACACTGAAAAATGGCCGTGGGGGCACTATAAATGGCCCTCCACCATTTTTCAGCACGGGGATGCTGATACATATGACATTGGAGTCCACCTTGATTAATTGAATCTGCTCTGATGTGCTGTAATTACAGCATGTTGGAGCAGCCTCCTTGCAGTGTATAAGCACCCTTTATGAGCTGGCAGGTCAGCATGCATTGATCTGACTGCAGGAGCAGTCACTTGGTTTTCCTTTGCTGAGAAATCCTTATAAAAACCAGTAGTGGAGCAGAAAATGCTATTCCCTTATATATGGATTTCATTGAGTTCTTCCAGCTATGGTAATCGCGTGTGTGTGTGTGTGTGTGTGTGTGTGTGTGTGTGTGTTAATTTCTTAATGTTTCGTTAAGAAATTCCAGAAACTGGAGGTTTCCAATTTAAAAAAAAAGGTCAAGAGGACACTCTTGCTAAATGTAATAGAGACAAAAAAATATTCCCCCTTAGACTGAATGGCAGGAGTAGCGTGAACATGTAAAGACCTATAGGAAAACCTTGAGGCTCCAAGGTCTGTCAGTGCAGCCCCTCCAGGAATGTTAAGTCTTTTTATCTACAGTAGGGGAGTACATTCAGCATTAGTAATAGTGCTAGACCATGCTATAAAGCACTCCTAGTATAGAAGCAATTATACTGTCACAGTTGCCCTTGCCTCATTTTAGTAAAACTATTCCTCTCCAACCCAGTGAACCAAGAAAGATATCTGGGTAAAATCACAGCTTTCTGGTATTGCTCTGTCTAAAACAGGTACTTTTGCTACCCAGCTGTTTAGGTCATGGAATTGTATGTCTTTACACTCCCAACATAGCAATGCTGGCAGAAGTCAATTAGGGTAGGCCTGGCATAAGGGTGGGATTTCCAAAAGAACCTAAGAGAAGAACAAGACTCCCATCACAAGTCAGGTATGCAGATCCATTAGGTGCTTTTGAAAAATCCTTTCCCAATTTAACAACCTCCCCCTGCAAAAAAAAACTTAAACTGTATAATTGATTGCAGCTAGCTTAGTTTGTTTTGCATGAACTGTAGCCCCTGAACATGTAAGTATATACATATGTACTAACTGAAACCCGCAAAACATTTGCGATTTAATTTTTTTTTGCAAAAGTATTTCTTTAAATACAGGATTTTTAGTTTTCCTTTAACCAAATACTTTAATGGATTCAAAACGTCTCACCCTCATAAAGGCTACGTAAAGCTCAGGGCCCACCGGCAGCTTGCCCTGCAGCCATGGGAGAGGTGAGCAGGCTCCAGGAGGAAAAAAATGGTATTGGGCCCCTCACCACTTCTATTTATTTTTTTTTCCCTTTGGTGGAGCCTGCCCACTCCATGGCTGGGGGGCTCTGGTGCTTCATTCTAGCTCTGACTTGCCTGCCTTGCCTGCACTGTGATCGGTTGTTTTAGTAAGCATTGTGATTGGCTGCTGAGACAACCAATTAGAGTGCTCTGGACAGACAGAATAAGCCTATTATTATAAATGGACAACAAACTATTTATCTCAGAGTTTTGATTATACTTTGAATTCTTTTATAGGATACCTGTTTGGAGGAAATAGCAGAACTGAAAACTTGCATCAAGAGGGTAGAGTATGAAAATGACTCTCATGGTTCTAAATGAGAAAATTAAAAATACAACTTTAATAGCAGAAAATGTAAAGGCAGTTCATTCATCCTTTCTTTCTGTGAAAGTTATGTATACATCTCAATGTCTTTTCAGAACTCCTTCCATTATGCATTTCTTGACGGTTTTTAAAATGTATTTATTGAGGTTTTTCTTTGCTGGAAAAAAAATGGTACTCAAGTCAGGACAAATGGAAATCACTTGCTTTTTCTAAAGCAAGTTAAAAATTCAAGCTAAAACTACTACAAAATGAAGCCTACTTCTGGATCCTGTTCAGCTTCTGTTGAGGCATCATTGGAGATCTTCTCATTGACTTCAGTGGGAGTCAGACTGGGTCTTGATGATGCTTAGAAGAATTGATTACAAGGCAGTTAACCAAAGGATACCCTGCCAGATCCCCCCCCTTGCCAATTAATTTTGTAAAATTACTTGGAGACTGTTCAGACAGCCTGTGCAGACATTATTAACATAGTGCTGATAAATCCGTGCATTAATGGAAAGAAAGGAGTATAAGGAATGACAAGGAATCAGATCCTTACTAAGGATTCTCCCCTGGTTTCCTCTTGAGGTTACAGAGCATGGTGATATTTGAAGATCTAACTTTTACAAGAAAAGTTACTAGGAGAATTTTCAAGACGTCCTTTGTGCTTGGGGGAGGGGGCCTCTGAAACCCAATTCAAACCAGCTTTTTGTGGTCCTAGAAGGTGTTGATTAGGCAAGATTAAACATTCTGAGAAACTTCCTCCTTACCTTTGGTGAGTACCTAGCTCATCCTTATTAAGTTGGATGGCACCCATAGCCCACAGGTTGCATCTTTCCCCTAGAAACGCAGCGCATGCCCAGAAGAGGCAACGCATTAGTTGTATCTGGCTCGCCCAATGTCTGTATAGATCGGGTGCTTTAGTGGGGCTTTTTTGGTGCATTTATCTAATAGCTGATTGAATCAGCTATTAGATAAAAGTGACAAAAAGTGCTGCTGAAGTGCCTGATTTGTACAGACGCCACAGAGCTGGGTTGAAGTAACATGCTGCTTCTTCTGGTAAAACATGGGGGGTTTTTTTGAACATCTGCAAGCAGCCATAATAACTAATGTCATTATGTTAATCGTTTCACTTTCACATTGCTCTCTATGTTATTTGTAAATCAGTAGTTCTCAGCTGAGATACTGAGGTGCCTCTTTAAAGATCCTTTGATGGGTGATGTGGCACCCAGCCCCTGTGAAAGGTGGTAAGTGCTGGCTCCGGAGCTGGTAGGAAGAGCCACAGGGGAGTCCCCAGAGGAGCAGCTGTAGCTATGGGAGCTATGCCTCCCTCTAAGGGGAAAATGCAGAAAGGGGGAAAAAAAAAGAGCAGGCATGGCAGGATCCTGCCCTCACTTGGCACCTATACCAAACTCTGTGCATCCAGTGGCCCTTGTTACTCCCTTCCGCATCATGTAGGGACAGCTACCTCCCTTAGGGGTCTAGTGACCCACCCCTGAACTCCCCAGTCTGCCATGCTGAGCAGTCCGTACCATTGCTAAACAATTTGAACCACCTCTGCCATGCTCTGAAGGGTACCCTGCCCGTTGCTGCTTGCCCTACCACCCCATGAGATCCTTTTAAGGGTGCCACAGGGTGTGAGAAGGTGAGTAGTGCAGGAAATAAATTGATTTTTGAAGGGTGCCACTATATTCCAAAAAATTATGAAACATGCCTTGAGCCTAGAAAGGTTGAGCACTGTTGTTTTACACTGAACTCTACCGCATTTACAGACAACATTGGGCTCCTTACATATTTACTTGTGATGCTTGATTTTGTTGGGTTTTTTTGTCTACTGACGTAGTAACACTTCTGTTTTTGTAGATGAGCACAGAAAATGGTTCTCTGTTGGAGAAAATGAAAGTACTTCAGAAAGCCACAGACAATAAGTCTCCCAGGTGTTGTTTCACATTAGCTGTTCACAAGAATACGGAAACTCTAACAATTTCCTAGCACAGCTCTTTTGACTGGATCAGGTATGTCATTCTCGGAAGGAACATCACTCCAAAATAAGTAAAAATGTTGAGCTAAATTTGTTTTATCTGCCCAACTCCAAGGGCCTTTATACACATACTTTTTTCCTGCAATGGAGATCCACCACTTTGGAGCAGACTTAATTAATTGAGTCTGCTCTGTGTGCAAGCTGAAGCAAACTGTGTTGCACTGCATGCAGTTGTGTGAGTGGCAAAATGCATGTCAGCACGCAAAAAATGGTGGCAGTGAGCTTTTGAACTAAAGTACCTCCAAGGTGTTTTAGTTCAAAAGTACACCACCACCATTTTCTCAGTGCCTGGTGCTGCAGCATTTGCACATGTAAAAATGTCCCAAGAGACTGATAACATCTGGTTTGTGATTTGTTGGTTTTGGAAACCAGCAGCAGAAGCTTGCCTTACCAAGTTATGAGCTGAAGAGTTTACCACTGTTTTAAGCCTTTGGTTAGAGTAAAGTGAGTTCAGTTAAACAAAGATTAGGGTTACCAGCTACCTGCAGCTACCCCTAATAGTGAACTTAAAGGGAACTTAGAAGTAGGTTTAACTCAATAAGACTCAGTTAGAAGTAGGTTTGACTCAGTAAGTCTTCAGTGGATTCAGACCAGGACTGTGTCTTTGGGGCAAGTGTGAGGTATGCATGTAAGCAGATGTCTTAGCTGTTAGTTAATAGTTCTGTTAGAAAAGTTCAAGTTCTGATTCCTTTGCATCCCATGTGTGAAAAGGCAGAAAATACTAGAGCTGAAACAGCTTCACAGCTGGTATGAACCTCTAGGCTGTTGCTTTGTGGAACATGGATCCATATTCCATGGGAAAGACACTATACAAACAAGACTTAACACCAATCAAATAACAGGAGTATTGTAACTATCCATACTGATATCGAAAGCCTAAGTAGATTGACCTTCACTGAGGGAGGCATTAACTGTTGCCCATTGAGTTTATGCAGGCCTCTTTCTTGTCATGTCAAGTATTAGTCTTGTATTAGTATACTTGCCTCTCAAGTATTAGTTCTCAGGAGAGTCACTCTTACCTTTTTTGGTGATGAGTTATGTCAGTGGGTCTGGCAAGTACCCCCTCTCTTTGTAATTCCGGCTTGCCACGACTTGGATCTTAAAGAAATGAAATAGGGAGGAAGTGGTTGTTATGTAAGGAAGTACCCGCGGGAAGTACCACGCTGAATTAAATCTACTTTTCAGTGCTTTTATTCAATGGCTCTCTGTTGTTCTCAGGAAACTCCCCTTGTGGGAGATCACAGTCCAACAGATTAATCTTGGGGTCTCCAGCCTCCTGGCCAGCCCCGTTCTAATGATACAGTAAATGGATGCTGCGCCACGTCTCGCTACTTAACCTATTAGCAGCATGTTACGGCTGCTGTCATTGCCGATAATTATTCAATTAGCAGCTTGTTACAGCCGCCACCTGTGGCTTTTCTCAGCAGAGTCAGCCTATAGGCTCCGCAGCTCCTTCCCGATCAGGCTGGCCCTCTCTGTCCTCGGTGTTTCCTCCCCTTTCCTAGGGGCAGGGCAGGAGTCGTTGCTCGAACCGTCCTGTCAACTTTATGTAGTTGACCCGTTTCTTCACGCTAGCTGGGACTCCAACCCGCCGCTCAGCTCCCCTCTCCCAGCACTCACCGTCGTCCCTGTAGCCTCCAGATAAGTTCAAACTGGGTCGGGTCCCAAGCTTTCCTCTCCCCAGTCCTCTTTTCTGGAGCCTCGCTCCAGCTGCTTCTCTTCCTCTTTTCTTGTGATGCCCGAAGGCATCCCTCCTTCTCCTTCTCTTCTTCTTATCCACTGAGTCTGGTCGCCATTGGCTCCTTAAGGGCTGGGGCCCACCCCCCCGCAGGGTAATTATTTCCAGCTGCCCCCGTTCCCTTAACAACAGGGCCTCAATGGAGACCCTGTTACAAGTTACATGGTGTTTGTGCACTCAGACCTCCCCCTCTGTGTTTTATACCTTCAGTATTTAAAATATAATTGTTGTGGAGGGTGAAGCAATCTCTTTGGGAGATAAATTCAATCCTGTAGAGGGCTTTGAACATCAGGACGGAAATCTTGAACGTTGAAGCTGTAAGACCCTAACATGGCTAACAGCATTTGGGTTGAAAAATCATAAGACCCTGACCAAATATTTAAAATGTGTTACCTTGCACTAATTAAAATGCAAACCTCTTTTTAACACTGTGCTTTGAAGTTCCCAAAAACAATTAAATTTCATACCATAATTTGCCCTGCCAAATGTGCAAACAAATTAGAAACTCTGCTTAGAAGCTAGAGGGGGTATAAATAGGACTTGACTGGAAGTCAAAATTTAAGTTTTAACTAGAGAATTACAAACAATGCCAGTTTAATAATGACTCTGTCTAGACTAAGATTTAAAATGTATGATAAAACATAGAATCATAGGAAAGTAGGGCTGGAAGGGACCTCATGAAGTCATCTAGTTCAGCCCACTGCTCAGACCATCCACCCAAGTGTTGTCTGACCTGCTCTTGAAAATTTCCAAGGATGGAAGTTCCACAGTTTCTCTAGGCAGCCTGTTCCGTCCTCATAGTTAGGAAGTTCCTCCCCATCTCCAACCTAAATTTCCCAGCTGAAACTTGAGGCCATTGCTCCTAGTCCTGTCCCCTGTAGTGAGAGAAAAAACAAACAGAACACACACACGTGAACTAGACACATTAAGAAAAACTGTTTGAAAGATCTCGTATAGACAAAGGACAGTATAGATTTCAGCATATGCTTAACTGGTTGAGACCATGGCCTAATCTCTCTACACATTAGTGCATAATAAACTATTTCACTTAAAGGCATACCTTGCATAGATTTTTTAAAACATGGTACTTAATACGTATCACCAGAGAGGTTTAAACATGATGTCTTTGTCTTTGTTAGACAGGGGCTGTTGTGACTGGCAGTTAGGCCAGTTCTGCCCCAACATCCTTGAATGCCCCCCCTCCCTGGACATAAATAATCCCTTGAATGTTACTCCAGTGAAAAGTAGCTGTTCCATAGCCTTTACAGTACATTGTGGAAGACATTGTGTTAATGTTAAGAATGTGTGATTATGAGTCCATAAACTCTTGTTTTTTTCTGGAAATAGAGCAATTGTTTCTTAGTTCTAGCCTCATAAAATGGAGTATTTTTGCAGTGGGGAAAAAAATCATAATTTGGAAATCATTTTGGGACTGTGGGAAGCTTTGAAGAATCAAAGTAAATTTACCTGCCCTCATGAAACATTAATGCTTTTTCCTACTGGAATATATTGACAGAGAAACAGTAGCTTATGCTTTGAGTTACTCACCACATCTACTGGTAAAAGATAATTTAGTGGAACAGAAATGCATTTGCCAGAGTTTGGGGGATTGGGGGGAGTTTTGCTGGTGTTAAACCAGAAAATCAAATTCATATTAAAACTTTGCTGTCTACTACTTCATCATTGTAAAACTGACCTGTGCTCTAGGAAAGAATGTAGTCCAACGTAAAACTGACTCAAAACAATCAGTAGGGAATTTTTGTCTCTTTCAGAAAGCACCCATTGCTTTGATAGCTGTCATGCGGCTACATGCATTTCCATGCAATGTGTTGCTGGGACAACCTTAGTGGAGGAAGATATAAGCAGAGTGAAAGAAATGTATAAACAGCTGTAAGACCTGATTTTGTATTTGTTGTTATGAAAATAAATTAAGGGGCTTGGATACAATTTTCCCTCTGGAAAGTTCATAGGGGAGTGAAACACAGCAAGGAACTCAGCAAGTATAGAACTAGAACAGTGACAATTTGGTGCAGCCAACTGTGTTTATAAAAGTCTGGGGAGACAGGTAAAATGGTGATTATTTACATGATAACAGTGACCAGTCCTGACAGGACTATTGATGTGAAATGAAGTGGTGCATATGTTTTGGAGCTCTTGGGAAGGACTCCTGAAACTGTTTCAGGTGTCTAGGGCCAGGGCTGTGTCCTTAGGTGTGTTTGGGCAACACTTGGCACAATGGGGCCTTGGTCTTCGGAGTCTCTTGATTCCACACAACAGAAAATGGCAATTTGGACTTCTGGGATTCATGAGATAGGGCCATTTGCAAGCAAAGCTCTGCTTCAATCCTAACTATAATTGCCAAGGTGTCATAACAAATATTCAAACCAATTTCCATGGAAACCTCCGTTTCATCTCTGAATTTTAGTATGCTTTAAGACAGCAGGAGTGGTAAAAATCATGTAGTGGTTATATGCATGGAGAAATGCTTATTCCTTGCATGAACTCTTTGTTGGCTCAAATCTCTGTGTATATGAGAAAATTATGCGTGCAAATTTAGAGGCTTTTAAAAAATGTTATCTCCCTTGTAAAATGCCTGAATCAGACTCACATTTGGGTTTCAGTTTTCATTTCCTCTCAGCATAAATATGAGTCTGAGACACACAATAGCTAAGTGATTCCAGAGCATACAGCAATTTTAAACACAGATCCTTTAAAAAAAGAGTAAGTTTTTAAAATCTTTTCCATACAAAGTAGCAATTGCTAATCATTTGTTTAATTTGGATTTACAGTGTAATGTACAATATAATCATTTTTATTTTTTAAGGAAATGAGAAACCTAACCTTCTACTTGATATTATGCTAATAATGTACACAAGAAGGTGGTTTCTAGAAGAAGCAATGCCGTACATCAAAAGAACTCTCAAGAATTGTGGAGTAAATTTAGAAGACAGAAACTGAGAAACAGAAAACAGCTCAGAGAGACTTGTTATCCAGCCAGAACATGGGATTTAATGTAATACTCCACAAATAGGTTTGCTCCTGTGTCTAGAGGTCAGTGGAAACATGATTAGATCTGTCCTAGAGATGTTTAAACTTGGATGCTTAACTCTGGTGCTAGGAAAGTGCATGCAGAACCTCCTGATTTCAGTGGGAGATGAGCATTGGCATGAAGGGCAGCAACAAAGGCTCTTAGGAGGAGAGTTTTCGCTCAGGCCTTGTACCTTTAGGATTTATAATGTCAGTGACATTTCATTTTTTTTGGTAGAGCTTGATGCTGCTGAAAGCATCTTTGCTTTAATTTACATTGAATATCAAGTAAAACTAGGTAACTTGTGTCACAGATCTGACCAAACACTCCTTACTGGTGACTCATGAGACTGCTGTGAGATCAGCCAGCCTCTGAGTCTCCTGGGTGATCTGAGCTCTCAAATGGGCCTCTCAGCCATTCTCAAGGTGCAGATCTTCTGCCTTTTACTCCCTTGCTAGAGTGCAAATGTGAAGTCTTAACTACCAGTGCCCTGAGCTAATGTTGCCTGTGGGCATGCAGAGGCTTCAGCTTAAGTGTTCAGGAGGATGTAATAGGTGTAGACAGACAAATCGAGAGAGTCTTTGTGCAGAGTTTCTAAGCACACATTACTGCTCTCAATCATGTGAGAAACACAGTTCATTCAGAAAACAAGTGTAGATTCTACGTGCAGTGCCCCTGAATCAGCTCACCCTTCCTTAGGGGATCCATCTTATGTCAGGTGACATCTGGATCTGCCTTAAGAAAAGGCCACTACTCTACCAGTTAAGTACAGTATTATGCCATTTTTCCTCTGATTAAAACTATCCCCTAGGGTCAGAGTTGTATTAGTGTGAGTACATGTCGCTGGTGGAGTATTTAAGTAATTGACCCTCTAACATTAACCCTTGTGTTAGTAATTTAAGAGAAAGGATGTAGCATAAGCATGTTCAGGGATTTGTGCTGGCTCAAACATGATACAATGTGTGCTGGCTCAAACACAAACTTTAACCCAAACACAGTCCATCAAGGGTTAACTCCCAGGTCTGAGTCTCTTCAGAACCTGAGAAGGTGACTCTGGCTTGCTGCTGCAGTCTTCCATCTCAGGCTGGCTCTGACTCAGTTCCCTGCCCTGGTATCACTGGTATCCCAATCTCACAGCACTTAGGTCTCTTCCCAGACCCGGAGTAGTGTCTCTGATCCCATACTGAAGCCACTGGCCAGACTCTTACGGTCTGTTCATCTGTCTGCCTCTGACTTTCTCTCCCTGAGAGCCTTTTATTTCCTGTGGGCCAGCTAATTATCTCCCTCAGCTGGCCCAGTCCTTCTGAGCAGCCTGCAGTTGGTGTTACTGCTCACAACTGGGCTAGAGCCTCTGGCCCCGCAGCCTACTACAGTCTACCACAGATAGCTGCAGGACAGGGTGGCACCTTTAAGGTTAGGCTGTACCCTATGGAAAGCTTATGCTTTTCTGAAGGAGTGGTACCACGCAGCCCCATCTTTTGCCTTAGGAATTTTACTAAAGGATAGACAAAAAGACAGCAGGAAGGTAAAGACCAGCCTTACAATGTAAATGGAATTTGCATTGTGATACAGGTGTGTTCAGGGTGCCTAATCACCAACAGAATTCTTTGATTTCCCAAATCTTCACAAATATTTTAAGTGATCTTTCTGTTTTTCTCAGAAATTTTCTGTTGCTGAGAACACATCACTTAAGGTTACCTTACATTTCAATGATAGATGAAATGATACCCATTGGTAGTGGATAAATGGAAATGCAGTGCTTCGGTTACAAATAATAGACATATAGAAGCATTTTTACATAAAGATATGGAATTAGAAGGGATGTCTTGGGTCACTGAGTCCAGTTCCCTGCTATTATGGACAACTTTACAATACTCTGTTTATAGGCTGATCAAGCACAGCCTTAAAGTGAAGGCAAGAAACCAAACTGTTTCCACTGGCAGGATGTTCCATAACCATGCTGATCTAATGGTCAGAAATCTTCCAGCCTGCATTTATTTATGGGTAATTTATATCCATTTGTTTTTGTGCCAGCATTGTCTTGTAGATTAAGCAGCTCTTCTCTCTCCCTGGTCTTTACTCTCCTGACATATTCATAGAGAGCAATCTTATCTCCTCAGCCTTTATTTTGCTAGGCTAAATAAGCCAACTGTTTTAGTGTCCTGTTGTGAAACAGGCTAATCATTACTCTTATAATTTTATAGATTTCATAGACATTAGGGCTGGAAGGGACCTCAGAAGATCATCTAGTCCAGCCCCCTGCCCGAAGGGCAGAAAGTCAGCTGGGGTCATAAGATCCCAGCAGGATAAGCATCCAATTTACTCTTGAAGGTGTTCAATGTAGGTGCTTGAACAACCTCTGATGGCAGGCTGTTCCAGACCTTGGGGGCTTGGACAGTAAAGAAATTCTTCCTTATGTCCTGCCCGAAACGGTCTTGCAGTAGTTTATAACCATTATGTTATCAAAGAAAGATATGTTACTCTGTACAATCTTCTTTTGCATTTTATTCCATTTTACCCTTTTTAATCTCATCTGACCTCATTAAGTCCCTTCCTGCCTTATTTTCCTATGATCCTGTGATCTCTAAATCTTAAATCATTTTCTTTTAAATTTTGCCGTAATGCCTTGCATATTATTGAGACTGGACCAACAGCCTGGTTGTCTAGATAACTATCCCTCCATCCCTTCTTAAATATAATACCACTATGCTGTTTTCCAGTTATTAGAGACGATTGCCAGCTTACTAGAATTATTAAAAATATTTCTTACTGGCACTGATATTTCATTTGTCAGTTCTTTCAGAATTATGGGATAATTTTTGGTCCCTTTGATTTGAATGCATTTGTTACCACCTTGGATGTGGTAATTTCTGTTCCCACTAGTCATCCTGCCCTTTACCCTCCATGGTCATTATCACTGTCCCAGTTTGAAAACTGAGACAAAGTGTTTAGTTTTTGGGCCATACCAAGACTTCTACCCCTGGTCCAGTTTCTACCCCTGCCACTGCATGGCAGCTCCCTGTCTTGTTCTTAATTCCATGGGAGAACCAGCTGTTACTCTTTAACTAGACCTTGCACAATAAATTAATCTTGCCTTTGGCCATTTTTACTTCATCCCTACCCTTCTGTGATGTAACGTTTGTTGATCAGGCTCTTTTCCATTACTTCAAAGCTCTCTGCTTACTCAAAATATCCTTTTCTTGGGTGGGTACCCAGTTAGGTAGATAGCCCTATCTTACATGTTTTGCCGTTGCCTGTATTGCAAGTTACAGGCAACTTTTCTACTTCTGGCAAAAAGAAATTCCAAATTGCTTTCATGCTCAAGTTCCTGGGCTCTGTAGTCCTGCTGTGCCTATTAATTTGGTTCCCAAAGCTTTTCAAAATTTACCCTTCTGAAGTCAAGAACCTTGCTTATAGTACCATTTCTGTTCATCCTTCCATTTAAAATAAACTGAATTAACTCATGATCACTTAATCCAGGTGTCTTGTAATATATTTGCTGCTTTTCAAAGCCAAGTCTAAAATAATAACACCTCTTATTGGTACAATGACTGCTTGTTGAAGAAATCTTTTGGCTGTGAGATCCATGAATATCATTGTGCTACTATTCTTAGTGGTATTCATTTTTCAGTCCACCTGCGAAGTTAGTTTCTCACAATGGCACAATTCCCACTACTGTTATTCTTTCTAATAAGATTAAAGAAACCCTTGCCCGTATCCAAAGCTGACCTATAGCAGACCCTTTGCACTATCTCACTAACATTTTTCCTACCACCATTTCCCAAAAGGTTTTTGACCCAAATTGATTTCACCCATGTCATCCCTTACATTTTTTTAATCTCTCACATCACTTGTGTGTGATGCTTATCTACCACCTTTGTGTTTACTTCTGTCATGAGCAACAGCTGCCTTTCACTACCCATGTTCCAATCACTGCTGCCATCCACCATTTCTCTTTCCTCTGTAATATCTGGTTTCATGTCCTGCCCTCTAATTCTAGTTCCTCTACTCTGTTGGACAAGCTTCTTGCATTGGCAGTCAAATATTTCCGTTATTTCTCACTCACCTTGTCCAGTATTTTTGCTGAATACATCTGAGCCTAGCCACTGTATCTTCCACCTGACTACTACCAATGTCAGTACCGTATAAGTACTTTTCCTTCATATATGTGTACAATTCCATATTGTACTGTTACTGAAATAGAAGTGAATGCAGTGTAAGTGCTATTTTGTATAAGTTACTTTCCAAGTGGCCCAATACAGTAAAAATTCATCAGCAGTCCATAGTAAGGAGTCGTTTACACACAAATTCCAAATTCACTGCGCATATATATTACCATTGCCACCTAACCTCACTGCTGACTCCATCATTAGCTGGGGGAGGATTGAAAACTAAAGAAAACTTGCTTCCAACTATGGAAGTGCGTAATAACTTAATTTTTAAATCCTAAACAACCAGATTTGAGTTTTGTGTCGGGGAGTTGCCTGACTATTATGTTATTAACACATACTTGTTTCTTTGTACAACATGGAAACAAACCTCTTTCTGGGGTATCTTTATTTAAGAAAGAAAACACTTAATCAGAATTCACACAGTGAAGAAGTTAACTTTTCAAATTGGAGCACACTGTGTCACAATTGCAGAGTTGATGTAAACATATGACAAATATTTGACTTGAATTCCAAATTTTAGCAAAAGTCTCCTGATATAGATCCAACCACTTGAAAAATGAGTTGGTCAATAGCATTGTATAACATGTTGGAAGAAAGGGAAATAAAATCATAGTACTTGATTGCAAAGACATCAAAAACTATTGTAAATTCAATGTGCTAACAAATACTTTGTTGGCTGGTTACTACAAACTTTTGCATTTATGTACTGCGTGGACATTTGCTCAGTCCTTTATTGAGCAGGCAAAACGTGATTTGATGTTCTTCAATAACTGTGTATTACTACATAGATAATTTTCCTTTTTCTACCCTTAATGTTGGCTATGATGATGATGACAAGGCAGTAGAGTAGGAAAGGGAACCAGAAAGCATTCTCTGAAATAAAGGTGGGGTGGGGTGAGGTGGGGTGGGGTGGGGCAGGGGGGCAGAAACATAATCTTCAGTAGCAGTCAGTGAAGAAAGTGGGAGGGGAACGTAGCAAGTATGCAAAGAGAAGCTATACTAAAAAACTTTTCATCAAAAATGAAAACAGCTACAGAAGTGAATTTTTGCACTAATATCAATTTTCCAATGTGCAGTGTCTCTTAATTGTCTAAATAAAGACTACAGTGTTCTTAATGTAATGTAATAATTTACATTGTAATTAATTATTTTATGTAATCTTGCAACAGTTCTTCAAAAAGATACAAATGATAATACAGAGAACACATCATTTTGAAACTATGATTAGACACTAACACAATCTACAGTGTAAAAAAAATGAAGTTCTGCTTCAGAATGTTATGATATGACTTTGTTCCCTGAACCCACTCTTCCTTTAGCATTAGAAATACCTGCAGGAGTGTAAGTGGAGGAACCCGACATGTTCTAATTGTATTTTAATCCCTATTTTAGAATCAAATGGGGCACTATACATAAATATTCCTTGCAATATAATTTAGCTATTGGAAACAGTTACAAGGAAATACAGTTGCACAGAAGATTGTTGCTGGCAGTCGGCTTTCCACAAGACCTTCCAATAATAAGGGAGTCACATACATGGAATTCCACTGGTTAAAATTGAGACTGTTCCAAAAATATGGAAGTAAGAAGCAATGTTGCTTTAAAATCTTGGCTTAGGAATGAAAAAAAATTATCTGATGCATGAGCTCCTCCTTATTTTGCCAGTATCAAGGCAGAGCTAGAAATGTGAAGACCCAAAGCAGTAATCAACAGGAACACAAGAAATTCAATAGTATTAAAGCATGGATAGTGTTTCTTATGAACCAAGGTGCACTCGTACTCTCCAAGTCTAGAACAAATCACACTAAAACAACTGTATCCACTGAATGGAAATTAATTAGTTCTTTCTCACTAGAACAAAATCCTTATTCTTCAGCACCCTAGAGTATTATAATTTCAAATTCACGCAAGTCCCCAACATACACAATTCAAAATGTCCCTATTACAGAGTTAGGTTTTTCTTTGGCATATCTTCCACTGTCAGCAATGAAATGTGTTTTGAACGCTAGGCTTGAAGTAATAGGAGGCAGACAGACCTCCTTTTCTTTTCAGTCAGCTTCACTGTCACTAGGTTTTTCTTCTGAACCACATTCTTCATACTTTTCATCCTCATATTCGAGAGCATCATGATCAGACAAAGTGCTTGCCACTTCTACCGCCTCCTCTTGCTCCTCCTCCTCAGATTGGTGGGATTGATGGCTTGCCTCCTCTTCCTCTTCCCCATCACAGAACTGATGAGATTGACAGCTTGCTTTCTCTTCCTCTTCTTCACAGGATTGGTCAGATTGATGTCTTGCTGCTGCCTCTTCCTCACAGGATTGGTCAGACTGTGGGCTGGCTTCCTCCTCCTTACAGGATTCTCTTTCTTGTATTTTATCCTCATTAAGACTATAAAGAAACAGAGTTGCATGTACTGATCTTTTGTGGGAGATTTTTTTTTAAATTGGTGTTTAAAAGAATAAAATTCTAATGTACGCTGGCCCAAATCCTGGTAGTCAAGGCCAACCACAGAGTTGTCTCTACAGGGCTAGGAGGACTTGCGTTTAAGGTGAAGGAAGCTATTTCCTTTATAATGATTACATTAGCCTCCCGAGTTGCGTGTGCTTACTCTGCGAGAAGTAAAGTTACATAAATCTCCAGAGTGGCACCCCTCCATTGCTCCCCTTGTCTGGCCAGTGGTAATGCAGAACACCCTCTGTAACCTGTGCACTATGTAAACTCTCCAGTGCACTTTCCCAAATCCTGGCAAAAGCTGTTCAGTGTGGCATGAAATTCTTTTTAATACCAAATATTCAAATGAACACTTCTCAAAGGGTTCCCCCCCACCAAATAATAAGATTTTATAAGAACAAAACTCATTAGCAATCTGCTAGGATTTCTGATTAAAATAGGAGTGTCCAGCATCAAACCCATGGAAATGGCTTATCTGGCCTGGAAGACCCACCTCCAGATCTTGCCTGCAGGGCTGGAAATTCAGCAGTGGCATGAGGGATAGCTGTGTTAACCCTGCAGCTGCTAAAGCC